ATATCTCATATTTGTTTTGATTTGCATCTCTCTTAGAGCTAGGGATTTTGAACATTTCTTCATGTGCTTGTTAGCCATCTGAATGTCTTCTTTGGTGAAGTGTCTGTTCATATCCTGTGCCCAGTTTTCTACTGGATTATGTACCTTTATCTTGTTGTGGTGCTTAAGTATTTTATAAATTCTGGATATAAGTCCCTTTTATCTGATATGTCATTACCAAATACTTTTTTCCAGTCTGTAGCTTCCCTTTTTACCCTGTTGGAGAAGTTTTTGGATGTGCATAGGGATTTGATTCTTAGAAGGTCCCATTCATTTATTTTATCTTCTCCTGTTAGTAGATTTCTCATTCCTTCTTACAGATCTTCACGTGTGTGAAGAGTTCTACTATGCTTCATCTTTTCTTTTTTTATGCTAAATTATGTCATATTCATCAACTGGAGTGTTAAGTGACGGAATTCAGGCAAATTGTCATTATTACCATCTTCTTCCCAACACTTTATTATGGTTCTTTAAAAATGTGCTCTTTGGGGAGCTCTGGTGGCCTAGTGGCAAGAAGCTGCACTGCAATCCCAGAGGAACACGGTTCGAATCCACCAGACGCTCTGCCGGAGAAGGAGGCGCAATATCCTCCTGTACCAGTCAGATCTGATTTGACGGTACACGTACACAAAATTAAAAAAAAAAATGTGCTCTTCACGTTTTAATACAGTGCTAATGTGTGTCCTGACTACTGTAGGAGACAAGAACAGAGGAGATGTTACTAGCACATGTTTTTTAGTAGTTACACCGCACTTTTACTCAATTCCAGCTAGGACCGCATGGCCTCCAGGGCCTCCTCGGCAGGCTTAGTGTCAGGAAGGGCAACCGTCATTTTACTGGGTGCTTTGCCCAAGGTCCCTGCTGTACTTTCAAACAGAATCTTGTTAATTTCCATTTCTGCCTCTTCTTCCATTTCTTCTGAACATCTCTTCTATGATGATTACAGCCTTCATCATTTCCTTGAACAGTTCCTGCATGATGGTCTGGATTTCCGTCATTCTGATGAGACTCTGCATGACTTTCATTATTTCTATGCTCTTCTGCAGGGAGCCAGGCACTTGGAAAACCACTCTTATCTGTCTGCTGCTCTCATTTCTTTTCTTATCTTCAATGGACATTCACTGACAAGCTCTGTGGGCTGCTTCTCCTGGGTTTTTCCAACCAGGGCCAAACTGAGTTGGGCTTGTCTGTTCCTGCTTTCAGTCAGCTATTTTTGAGGCTTTCATGTTTTTTATTTTGGGGAGTGAAATTTTATTTCTGCTTGCCTCAGTGTATTATACTGTGAAAATAAATTTAGTCATTAATTTGCTTATAAAGTTCAGGTAGTATCATCAGTGCTTCTGTTAGATCGGAGTGAATAAAGAGAATCATGATCAGGAGCATTCTCAGGAACTGAAGTGCAGGCATACCTCCACTCTCCAAACTGTTTACTAATTCTGACACCAGCCCTTGACCTTGGTATAGCTCTTTTACAAGGTTCCTTGCTTCTTCTCTCTCCTGTCTGCTGTGTTTCCTGTCTGAAAAAATTCAGTGCATGGCCTTGAACTGAGACCATAAACTGATGAATTCTCACTAGTAGGCCAGAGACATTTCATTTGCATAATATATATTGACCATTTCTTTAAAGATCAATACTAATCATAGGATCAGACAAAAAGTGTCAAACTACAAGCAGTTTACAGTTTACCCACTGATTGATAGGATGTATCAATCAGTTTGAACTAACGTAATCAATCCCCTGGAGTAGAATATTTGGGCAAAGGCCACCTAGAGGAACTCATTTCACCACAAGGTTTTGTAGTCATGCTGATACATAGGTTATGTTTTACAAAAGGATTTTTTATAAGCTCATAGTAAGAGAAAACATTTTGTTTTCCTTTTTTTTGCATTTTTTATTAATGATTTTTAATGCAACATATTTATTTTTTATAGCTTATTCTTTCCATTTAATTTCCCCCCATTCATTCATTGTTGCAGATTTTCCTCCCTGCCCATCCCTCCGCCCCAGTTCATTTTTCTCTTTGAAAAGAAAAAAAATTCTTTCATTGTTATACAATCCCCCCAAGTCCACAGTCCACTTTACTATGCATTTCTTTTTCTGTAATCTTGTCATGAAAATAATACCTAATTCTATATTCTTTTTAAACAGTTATTTCCCTCAGTGCAGTATACATTATTTATCCTCTCTTTTCTTAGGTTCCCCTAACCCCGATGGCAGCCCCACTTTACAACAGTGGCATTATGCAGAATTTGTCCTTTTGTGATTGAGATATTTCACTCAGCATAATGTCCTCCAGGGTCACCCATTTTGTATAATATTTCGTGAGTTGTTTTTCAATGCAGCATACTATTCCATTGTGTGAATATATCACAGTGTCTCTACCCATTCATTTGTTGATGGGCACTTGGGTTATTTCCAACTCTTAGCTATTGTGAACAAAGCTGCGATAAACATGGGTGTGCATATATCTTCTTGGGTGTCAGTTATGGTTTATTTAGGGTTTATACCCAGTAGTGGAATTGCTGAGTCAAATGGTATTTCTATTTACAACTTTTTGAGAAAGCACCACCCTGCCTTCCATAATGGTTGCACCATTTTACACTCCCACCAACAATGAATAAGGGTTCCAGTTTCTCCACAACCTCGCCAGCATTTGTTCCCTGTTCAATCTTGCTGTTCTTACTGGGGTGAGATGATATGTCATAGTTGTTTTGAAAACATTTCATTTTCTAGTGATGAGGGAGAATCTCCTCCCCAAGAGAACTTTTGGGTTTAATGTCAGAGAAACACTTAGTGGTGTGGGAATTCCTGGAGACCTCACAGCCTTCCTTATCTCAGTGTAGAGCTTTTGAGAGGAAGTGGAATCAGAATCTGAGTTAAAAACACCAAACCAGTCTGAACTGTTTCCTTAATTAATTTGTATTTCAGGAATCATCCTTTGCTGAAGCTGAAGACTGTCACTCTGACACCTCACATTGGTCGTGCAACTCATCAAGCCAGACAACAAATGATGGAACATTTAGTTGAAAGCATCCTGGCTTCTCTCAATGGCCTTCCCATTCCTAATGAAGTGATTCTTAGGTGATTTATGAAGTTCAGTGGGTGGGTGGATGAGGGAAAGATAGCAGCTTAAATGGGAAAATATCACTATTTTGTGCCTCAGTATAGTCTGTTGTTTTTGTTGGATACCGTGGAGTCCAGTCCAACTCCTAGTGACCTCACATGACATAGTAGAACTGCTCCACAGGGTTTACGAGGCAATAATCTTTATGGGAACTCAACTCCAGGTCTTCCTCCTGCACAGCATTGGATGGGTTCAAATCACCAACTTTTCACTGAGCAGCAGAGTGTTTAACCACTGCACCACCAAGCATCCTCTCACATATGGCAGAGCTCATTATTATACTTGTTACAGCTGCTGAGTCAACTCCTACTCACTATGACCCCACCTGCAACTGAGATCAGTGTCCTACCTCACCTGCACTGCTGGCACAGCCAGCTTTTATCTGAAGTGTCTTCACTCAATGAGACTTGGCTCTCTTTCAGCACTATGTTGGGCAATCTACTGTTGTGATCCACAGGAGGCCATGGCTCATTTTCAGCATTAGATCGCCAAGCCCCTCTGCTGGCTCATAATATTGACAGATCAAGTGCAACCTGCCCACCATGACTAGTATGTTAAATACTGGTAGTATTTCTTCTACTCTTATAACAACAGCTAGACACTTTAGTTCAGGAAACTGAGAGATGAGTGTTGGTTATTTTATTGGTTTTACTGGTATTTTGGCTGCAATGCTTTATCATTAGTAATTATTACATCAAGAAAACAAAGATTCTCACCACTGGTCCAATTGGCAGCAGCTTGATAGACGGTGAAGAGATTGAGATTGTTAATAGCTTCAGTTTGCTTGGGTCCACAATCAATGCTTTTGATACCAGCAGCCAGGAAATTAAAAGGCAAATTGCATTGGGTAAGTCTGCTGTCAGAGACCTCTCCAGAGTACTGAAGTGGAATAATGTCAGTCTGGAGACTAAGGTGTGCCTGATCCACGCCATGATCTTTGCAATTACTTACTATGTATCAGAAAGCTGGACAATGACAAGGGATGATAGAAGGAGAATTGATGCCTTTAAGCTGTGGTGTGGGAGAATAGTATTGAATAGACCATGAATTGCTAGGAGAACAAACAGGTTCATCCTAGAGAAGGTGAAATCACGCTGCTCCTTGGAGGCAAAGACTATAAAGCTTCGTCTGACATACTTTGTACATGTTTCTAAGAGGGACCGATCAATCCTTGGAGAGGGACGTCATGCTTGGGAGAGTGGAGGGACAGAGCAAGAGAGGAAGACCCTGGATAAGACAGATTGATTCAATGACGGGGTAATGGGGTAGGTGTATCAGAGACAATAAAGTTGGCACAGGACAGAGGGTTTAGAGCTGTTGTACATAGGGTTGCTATGAGTTGCAAGCGATGGCACATAACAACAATTATTACTGACTTTTACCGGGAGCTAAGTGTTTCAAGCTCATCATCTCATCTTCAAAAACCTCACAGGGAGCTCTTTGAAGGAAGTTCCTACCTTTAGTCCCTAGTTCTTAGATAAGCCCAGAACCTCTGCAAGATCTCAAGCCGGAAATAGCTGAACTTATATGGAAACCCCGATCTTTGAATTCCCAGATCTGAATTTCCCATCGGAGTATGTCACCTTCCATCCTGTTAGTGCTCATTTATTTCAACCATTCAACGAGTAATCACGGAGAATCTTTGATATCACGTCCTCCCTGTGTGCTGGAGCCACTGTAGGGACATTGTCCAGACCAAGTTGTCCAGAGCTACAGTCCAGTGAGGTCGCAGGTCCAAGGAGCGGAGAGGGGAGGGGCTAGACAATAAACACGGACAACTGTCAGGTGTCAGAGTACCGCCTTTCTGGGAAGCTGTTAGGAAATACCAGAAAAATGTTCTAGCCTGAGTCAAGTGGGTAGTGGCCACGCAAAGGCGAAGCGCTCCGTTGAATGGGGAAGGCAGACAGCTGGGGCCCTGGTCTGATTCTCAGCTTGGTCACTTAGAGGCGAAAGGCGCACTCTTCACACTGCACTGAGCTTCGGGTCTGCAAAGTCGGGAGGCAGCGGCGGGCAGCGCCAAGCTGAGCCACGCCCCCAGGAAGAAGCGCTCAGCTCCGCCCCGGGACGTAAGGGCAGCTCACGCGAGGCCCCCCTCACCATTCAGCCAGGGCCCCGCCCCCAGAGCGGCTTGACCCCGCCCCTGCGTTGTTGTCTCGCTCCTCCCACCAGCCGACTGTCCGCACCGCTGGTGCGCCGACGCATAGGCCCGCCCCTACGCCTTGTGGTCTAGTGCCCACGCTCCTGTCTACAAATAGGCTGCGCTCCGCCCTCTTACGTCACCACTTGTCCGGCCTACTGGTAGCCCAGCCCAAATTCGCTCGTCGTTCACTCACGTCCCGCCCTGCGGTAGCCACGCCCCTGAGTTCTGACGCACATTTCTGGCGACGCCGGTGGTCCGCTCGGCGTCTCATCCTCTTCCATGATGTGGGTGCTGTCTGGTAGGCTGTTTGGCTGTTACAGGGTCCTGGGGGGACTGTTGGGCAGCCTGCACTTGGACTGTCCTCGAGGTCTACACAGTTCCTCGGTGTCCTGCGGCAGCAAGAACTTGCTCAAGAAGTTCGCCTCAAAATCCAAGTAAGGGCCAGAGATTGGAAAATGAGGAAGGGAGGTGGAGGTGACACGGAGTAGTCTGGAGGGCAACGGGGACGTGGGGACGGGACGAATGGAAGACGGTGCCCACTTGGCAAAGGGCGGGGTGTGTGCTGCGCTCTTAAACTAGGCTTCCATTCTGTGGTCGCCTCAACAAGAGCAGGCCCCGTGACCCTGCATGTGAATAGAAACCTACAGAGGGCGCTGCAGGCAAATGCTCGTTGACAGCTAGTGAGAGCCGACTCCGATCTCCGCGGGGCCCAGGGCCGCAGACTCCAGCTCTGAAGACTCCTTATTGTTAGCGCCCTTGAGTCCGCTCCGGCTCGGCCACCCTAAGAACAACAGACCTGAACCTGGCCCTGTCCTGGTCCATCCGCATGGTCTCTCATACTTGAGCCCATCATTGCAGTCAGTGCATCACTGTATCTTGCTGAGAGTCTTTCTCTGAGTCTGCCTTTCTCAACTTGGTGTCTTTTTCCAAGGACTGGCCCCTCCTGACAACATGCCTAAAGTTTGTGAGACAGAATTTCACTGTCCTTGTCTCCACAAGCTCAGATTGCAGTTCTCCTAAAACAGGCTTATATGTTCTTTTATCATTCTATGAGATAATCGGTACTCTTCAACACCACAATACAGAGGTATCAATTCTTCTGTCGTGCTTACTCATTGTCTAACTTGCAGATGGATAGGAAGTAACTGAAAAGGTTGGATGTAGAGTTGAGTTCTTCTGTCATGATAGCTTCTCAGGCATGCTTGTAGGTCCTCTGACCTTCAGCCTCCCTAGGCTCTGCCTCACGGCTCTAGGGCAGTGTACAAAGCTCTTTTAGTTCCACCAATTATGGCACCTGCCCTCAGCTCTCCTCCAGTGAGCCCCGGTGAAGGTTTCAGCTTCGATTCCATGTAGTGACAGTTCCAAGTCTGCAGTAACTCAAATTGAAAATCTGTGATCTCTGGTACTCCACCATCTCTGCCACTGCTTTCCTAATAGTAGTGAGATTTCCCCACCTTTCATCAGTGTTGATTTTAGCCCCAGTCACATGACTGAGGTAGAGTTTGTGAGTATCTCAACTGTAAATGTCTTATTTCCCCTTTCTATACCACTATCATTCAGATATATGCACCAACAACCAGAGCCAAAGAAGAAGAAATAGATGATTTCTACCAACTTTT